TCTATACAGATATAATTATCTTATAATCTTCATTCCATTTGTGTATTACATGCTTGCCACACATATTTGCTTCATAATGAGAGAAACTGAAATAAAAAAGTATTTCATAAAATATGCCAATTTTTTATATGATTTATGCTTGAACTATATTACTAATAAACATTATATGTTTTAATCAACCAAACGGAATTGCTAATTATCAGTTTTAAATCATTTTGTTTGTTATATTGAAATTTGTATGACTTCTCTTAGTTTTTATGAAGCACTGATGTTTAACAACTAATAAACTGCATGGTTACATGATAACAACTAAGAAACTAGTATACTCTCCACATATAAGTACCTTGATATAATATACATGCATTTGTTTAATTTAAAATTAAATAAATACACAACAAAATTTAATTACCCGGCATATAACAGAGAATATAGTATGGAGTATTACTTGGTGATATACTAAATCTAGCAACTTTGGCTACATTTATTCTGTACATAATTTTGTTAAAATTGACATCTTCATATAGAATGACATCTGCACCAACTAATAACCCACAGATCTTTTCATCACTTGTCCATTGAGGTTCCCTAGATAGATATAAGGAAAATAAGTTCTACCTATTGTTTATGTTTATCTTAAAAAAGTAGATAGTTTTTTGGTAATAATAAATATAAGATTTTTATAAAATTTAAACATTATGAATGTCATTAAAATATGAAATATTTATTAAAACTGTATTTTTCTGATCACATAGATCACACAACGTTAAAAGATAAAAAGAAATAAATAGTTTGCAATAATTGATGAATTTAATATAAATTTTAATTAAAAATAAAATAAGTATGTAATACATTACCAGTCTGATTGTTTTTTCTGTATAAAACTCTTCACCAGTTCTCCAGTTTCTGATCTCCATATGTGAAGATTTGGTGTTCCTTGAGGATTTGATGTTGTCGCTGCAATATACAAATTAATAATATAAGTATCATTTCCATATTCAAAATATTGAAATATAATGCAAATAAAATATATGTTAAAAAATTTTATATTCATCTAATTTACTACAAAGTAATAAAATCAGTGAGATAAAGTTAAATATATAAATAAGATATATAACATATAAAAATAATTAAAAATAAATAATATAAAATTAATATAATACCAATGAATGGTTCCCATGTCATAAAATACGTGCTTCGAGTGGAGAACTGAATCGCAGAAATTTTGGGCCTTTTGATTTCTGTAATAATTTTCCATGTAGAACAATGTAAAATCTTGGTAGTCACTCCATTGACCCATGCAAAATAACTTCCCTCTGGGCTAAAAATCATTGCTTTACATGTTTTACTGTCATCTTTAGGAAATGACTTCACTGGTTCATACGATGGTGGGCCTTGTCCTAAGCTGATTCCAATGGAACCTCTCACTATAGAAAATCACATTAAAATATTCTAAGTTCCTTTCTCATTATTAAACTATTTATTACATTTAACGCATGAATAATTTTAATAATAGTAAACGTATAACATGAAAAATATTATGTATATCTTAAAATAAAAAAGTTATTAACATATATTCCTAATCCAGGATAAATTTAAATATCCACGAATTATTTATGAAATTAAATGAAATTGTCGGAAATAACTATACATGTAAATACATTTAATAATAAATGCATTCTGATAACGAAGTACCACATGACGCATTTTTTTAATCATAAATGTGTTCCAGTAATACAATGCCACATGACGCATTTTTGTGCAATCAGATATAGTGTAATACGAACTTGTGAAGCATATCATGGATAGATGTATATTCTATGCATGCTAATATCATTTAGAAAAAAATACCAGTAAAAATTTGATGTTAAAGTAAGAAAATTATCAATAAAAACAATATGAAAATTCTTACCAGCAACACAAGGAACAGTTAACGCCATTTTACCTCCGTTACCATGTGGTACCGTAATATCGAGTATCGACCACTCTTGCCAGACTGAGGAATTTGTCCCTTGAAAAGGATTTCTTGCACATGCGTCGCCAACATCGTATGCAAGAAACACGTGCGCTCAGTACCGTAGAAACTAGGATACATTCATCAAATTTTCTTTATCATCTATTTAAATTTGAGTAAAAGCAATAATATATTTATACAATATAGCAGCTGTAAGTGCTATAATGTATATAAATAAGTTAATATATTCATTATCAGATATATTAAAAATAGATAAAATATCATTTATGTGTATACCGTGATATCAAAATACGTGTATCAATCTTTTATTTGAATATCAAAAATAATTTTCTATCAATTAACTACGCTTGCGCAAATGTTGAACTAGTAAATCTATTATCGACTAGATTTCTCGATTGTGAGTGATTATCCAGCAAATCGATCTTACTTTTTCAAAAATATTTTATCATTATTACTTTATTTTAAGTTATAAATGTATTGTAATATTGTAAAATTTATAGATTAATATTTAAATGTGGTCTATCGACAATTATGTGTTTATCAAATATTATTTATGTTTCCACTATACAATATGAGCCTTATAGAATTAGATGTATGTTTAACTGTAATTTATATTATTCTAAAAAAAGATAAAAAATACACAATCATATTATAAATCATTAACCTTTGAACCTGTTAAAAATTAAAATAAAAATATTTTAATCGTCGTACTTATAATATTAATACAAAATAATTCTTTATTACATAATAAGAATAGATAAGAAAGAAAATATTCGTTAATACAGTGCACCATTAATGCAAACATATTTTAATTATGTTGTCGCACAATAAATTTAAAATTGAAAAGTGTTTACTGACCACCCTATATTCGGCAGAAATCATATGTCAGCATCGTCTTGCGTGGGGTATGGCAAGTTCATGTTTTAGGTAAGGTATTATAGATTTTATATTATTTCTTAATTATATTGTAATACCTTTTTTTATTATAGACATATATACTCAAATTATGAATGACATAATTAATATAATACAGATAATAGTCATATTTTTTATTTTTGTTTCGACTTATGTGAGGTTATGTTTTTATGAATACAATCTAATTTAGTGACGTGAAAAGAATAAGTAGTATTTATAGGATGTATTTCTTTTAATTACAATCTTATAAAATTTCTTAATCTTATGTTTCAAAAACAAATTTGTTATTATATACGTACATATATTTATTAGTAATGTGGATGAATATGGCTTTGAAAGACCTCAAGATTTTGACTATGAAACTTATGAAGATTTTATCTCAGAATACCTCAAAGTACTTGCAAAAAGAGCAAAAAAGTGGTCTGAAATAATTGGAGAAGGAAAATCATTACAACGTAATATTACAATAAAGAGATATGTTCGTAAAGGTATACCAGGAGAACATAGAGGATTAGTAAGTATAAAATTTACATTTTAATTCATTTTATAAACATACAAAGATAAAATTTCATTTTAAAAGGTATGGCTTTCTGTCAGTGGAGGAGAAGAATTAAAAAATGCAGACCCTGATCTTTATCAGAAGCTACTACAACCTCCACATAATAAACAAGTTGCAGATGTTATTAAAACTGATTTACCAAGAACTTTTCCTGATAATATATTTTTTAATAATACAGAAAATCAACAGTATCAATTATATAACATTCTATTAGCATTTGCTCATCAGAATAAAACAGTAGGATATTGTCAAGTATGTTAAATTTATTTTAATTTTTATTATTATAATTTTATTATACATCCATATTTTTAATATAATTTATATAAAAGATTTCTTCATATTTTTTGTTAGGGCTTGAATTATATAGCAGGATTACTATTGCTTGTTACAAAAAGCGAAGAAACAGCCTTTTGGTTGTTAAAAGTCCTAATAGAAAAAATTTTACCTGATTATTATACTCCAACAATGGATGGCCTCCTTACAGATATCGATGTGCTTGCAGAATTAGTCAAGTAAATTTTTTTAACTTTTAATACAAATATACAAATTATACATGTAATGGCATCATCATTATTATTTTAGAATAAAAATGCCAGATATTTATCAACATGTAACGAATATAGGCTTACCTTGGCCAGTCATTACAACGAAGTGGTTTGTGTGCTTATTTGCAGAAGTATTACCAATTGAGGTAAAGTTGATTATATATGTTTTTTAAAGATAAAATTTACACAATTTATGTTTTGCTGTCTTTTAACATTATTGTATGTGGTGTGTACACAGTTGATTCATGCATTAGTTTAACATTTTGAATTAATACCTGTTTGGATTGCCATATACTATAGAAGTATTGAATAAAATATTTACAACTTGGCAGACTACGCTGCGTATATGGGATTGCCTTTTTTATGAAGGCAGTAAAATTATATTTCGGGTTGCATTAACTCTCATAAAAAGGAACAAATGCAACTTGCTTGCTTGTCAAGATTTTACAACATTAGCAGAATGCTTTAAAGAAATAACAAAAGACAGTATTGTTTTAAAATGTCATGACTTTATGCAGGTAAATAAAGCATTTTTTAATTTTTTATTAAGAAAATAAACGTATTTTAACAAACCTAATCAAATAATTGCTATGAAATATTTTATTTTCTTTTACTAGAGTATATTTAAAGTACCTGGATCACTGCCTGGTAGCACAATTATTAAACTAAGAACAAAAATATCACGACAACGTTTGGAACAACAAAAGGAGAATAAATTAGGACGATAGTACTAGTAACAAGACTTTACCTACTAAAAGATTCTAGTCAATATATTATTTTATTGTAATTCCGAAAAAACGAATGTACTGTATAAGATTATTAATAATGTTGCATCTACAGTATTCCTGTAAATATAAAAGCAAAGAATAGCATACCAGTAATCTTATTACATTGATTTAGATTAATTTATAAGATTCTTTATACATTTTTTATTTATAAATACAAAGAAAATGGAATACTAATTTTATAAAATTGTAATATATTAATTGTATGAAGATCACGTGTTAAATACTTTTATCAATATAATTTTTAGTTCAATCAGCATCAAAATTAGAAATGAATCATTATTATGTATAAATAATTTTATTATAAGTTAAATAAAATACTTATTCAAATTACAATCACGGGGCTAGATGCAAACAAATTTCATACAGACTATCTATACGTATACATTTATCTATATATAAATCATTTTTCTAGTAAATCTTTTGCTTCATTAATTTTTGCAGCAATATATGGAGATCCACCTCTATCTGGATGATTTACAGACATAATTTTCTTAAATTGTTGTTTTACTTTCAATTTACTTGCAGTTGGTGATACATCCAATATTAAACTAGCTTCTCGTCGAGTCATTTTAGACTCAAAACCTCCTTTGTAATATTTACTATTTGCTAATGTCTACAATGACACGTTTCATTAAATCTATTGAAACATTTGTATAAACTTAACAATTAGGAGTTTACCTGTGAATTTAATTTTGGTACATTTTTATAAGCTTCTGCCATCTTTTGAGATAATTGCGGCATTCTTTTAAATATATAACGCCCAGTAAAACCTACTACAGCAAGGCCAATGCCTGCTGCAATAAGTGTAGAAGTCTAAAAGTATCAATTACTAATAAGAATACATTCTATAAATTCCATTTTTTATCAAACATAAAACAATTAGTCATTAAAAAATGTCATGTTAATTTACATATACTTTAAGTAATTATACGTATCCTCATAATCTCAAATACATTGAAACAAACGTTAGATATTGAAAATAAAGGTGATTAAAATATTTTCCTTCTTTTTTCTTCTCTTCATAAATAACAATATTTGTAAAGTCATAACTGTTTATTTCACTTCTAATGAAATTATGATGAAACACATGCACATATATATACACACATTCTTGACATTGTATATAGAGTTATAAATCACAAAACAATATTAATTCAGTAAAAAAATAAAGAAATATTAGGAATATATTATTACAAATATTAATATATCAACAATAAAATTACTTCACAATATATCATTAGTTTTTACTCTTACCATTTTATTAAAATTGTTAAATCAATACAGCAAAAACAACAAAATAAAATAATCTTCGATCATCAAAAAAGTGGTGAAAAAGACGATCCACTATAATGATTAGTAAAATCGAGCAGTAGCGACATTTGATCACATTGTGGATTCAGCTTTATATTTATTGTCCGTTCATATATCTCTAACCATATTACATATAATTATTTAGACAGGAAAATGTAAATAAATATAACAGAAATAATTATATTACGTACATGGTGTACAGTATACTATATCAAAATTGTAATATTGTCGTTAAAAAGTTGAAACTGTTCTCCATACAAGGATGGCAATATTACCAGCGTTGTACATATATAATAACGACTTTGCTTGATACGTAACTGCACAAGCATACGATTCTCCAATAACCACATGAAATGGGCCACCGAATCTTTTGTCTAAATTATCTTTAATATTTCGAGCTGCTAGTTCATGATTATCGGTATATTTCTCCGTAGCTGTAACGCATATTTCCATTGCTTCTTGCTTCATTTCTTCCTTCATATCACTGTACTAAAAAGGTTTCAAATAAACCCTAATATTCATTACAATATTAAATCTTGTAAAATATAATTTAAACCCTTACTTTACACAAAGGATACGTGTGAAATATTAAAGGTTCTTCTATCTTTTTCACCTCACCTGTAGACATTTTTGATTATTAGAATAATTCTGTTTCAATTAGAAAAATTTATGATTGAAGATTCCAGCAATATATTAAATTAAAGTACTTAATAAGCATATTACAAAAATTAACATTTTGAGGTTCACGACAAAAGTTTTAACATAAATATAAAATCAATGTATTTCATTTGTTATTTTATATAGGTGATAAGATATATAAGAAACCGAATTTAATTTAAATTCATAAAGTAGAATTTAATTTTATAGATTTTTATTCATCACAATATAAAATATTAATCTTTTTCATAAAAAATAAATTCACATATTTTTTGAAAATATTCATAATTAAGATCGATTGATATTAATGTGATGTCAAATTTTGCTTTCGTATTTAAGAATACTAATCTATAAGGTACCCAGTCAGAATAACCAATGACTTACAAGAATTTGGAACATAAAATCCAGTCAATTCTTAATCTTCGAAGAGGTTGTAACTATCTTAAATAACCGCTTTATTTTTGGCGCGAAGTTGTTTTATAGTTATGTTTAAGGAAAAATATTAAAAAGTAGTGATCTATATCTATAAATTACACACGATTATTGAAAGAAGGTATATTGTTGTGATAATGTTACATGTAATGTTGATAATTTGGTAATTTTTTAAATCAAAGAATCAGGAAAATATTTACAAATAAATACGAACTTAAGAAATTATTTAATAAGCATTAATTTAACTTTATACCTGAAAATAACATTTTTATATTTATTCTATTTTACACTGATAAACAAATTTTACCTGCTAATTTATTAAATTCCGAAATATATTTTGTATAACCTATAAATGTTATTTAGCGGCAACTCGTTAAGGTCAAATTTGTATATACATATATTTGTGTGTGTGTGTGTGTGTGTGTATATATATATATAAAACAAATTCAGTTAAACATGGATAACCATGAAAATATTTGTGTGAAATAATTTTATCTATAATAATAAAATAATTTTATTCATTGCTTGTAATTTTATTCGTAAAAGATTTATCACTAATACAATTCTAATTTTTTACTTTTTACAGATTAATTCGTATTATCTATTTTATTATTAATATAATATGGAAGATCCAGTTACTGCACGTTTAAAGAATTTGGTGGTCAGCAGTAATGAAGCTTTGGAATTTAAATTAGTACGTTCTGTTGAAGATTTAGAAAATGATCAAAATACATTTAAACCAGAAATGTCCCATCAAGTATTTGGAGATAGGTTTGTTATTGAAATATGTATTATTAGAAATCTATATAAATATTATAGATTATATTAAATATATTTATTATGTTCGTTTTTTAATTATTAATTTTGTTCATCAGTGAATCTATATTTGGTTACCGGGATCTCAGAGTAAAGTTATATTACTCAGCAGGTTGTTTAGAAACATATTTAAGTATGAGTTATTCAGAAAAAATAAGTAAAGTACTTTATGAGGGTGTCAAAGCTGACGAAGTATTGCCTAACATTGCCGAGAAATTAGCTCCACAAATACATACCAACATAGATGCATTTATTGAATCTTTAAAGAAAGATGATATATTTAAACCTCATGGTGAACTGCTACATTCATTTTCTATCAGTGGTAATGTCTTGCAATACTATATATTCTTTTTTTATATCATAAATAATCTGAATACTTAATCAAAATTTATAAATAATATAGATGAAAATTGTACAAGAAAATTTGAAGTTTATAAAGCAGACATGACTTATAACGGTTTTAAAGAATATCATCAACGTCTCCGTACATTTGTATTATGGTACATAGATGCTGCCAATTTTATAGACATTGATGACGAGCGGTGGCATTATTTTAGTATGTAAGTTTAATCATGATTTTAATTTATGCTGCTTATTGATTACATGGCAAATTATTTTTTTAAATAGATCACTTTTTGTGGAACAGGTTTGAGAAATATCTAACAGCAGATGGTACTGCTCGCTATGCAACTACTGGTTTTGCTACTGTATATCAATACTATGCATACCCACATCATATTAGACCTCGTATAGCTCAAGTTTTAATATTACCACCATTTCAAAATATAGGTCTTGGTACACGTTTGTTACATGCTATTTACTGCGAATATACTGGAAGAAATCAAGTCAAAGACATAACAGGTAAATGAAAACATAGAAACACATAATCATTAAAAATCCAAATTTGTATTTGAAAAGAACAAAACAAAAGTGAGGCCTGATTAAATACTTTTATTTCAGTAAATCTAGTTCATTTTGGTAAGGCATTGTCATCATTGTTGTAGTTGAGAACCCTTCCGCGACGTTTCAACGGTTAAGAGATTATGTGGATGCAATGAATTGCAGTAAATTATCTAGTTTTTCACCAGAATGTCTACTTCAAGGTTTTAGTAAAACGATGGGTGAAGAGGCTAAAGAAAAATTCAAGATTACTAACGTATGTCTTATATTTTTTTCACTATAAGAGATATTTTTAGATTAAAATATTAATTTTCATTTTTAGAAACAAGCTCGCAGAGTATACGAAATTTTAAGATTACGGGCAACAGATTTAGCAAACGAGCAAGAATATCGTAGATATAGATTAGATGTAAAAAGGAGATTGAATATTCCATACAGACGCGAACAAAATGATTTGTTAAAATTGGAATGTGCGTTGAAAAACATTGATAATCGTACGAACATCACTCTACCTACATTGGAACAACGTATACAAACTCTTGACCAAGAATACAAAAGTTTAGAAGAAGAATATAAGAAAGTAATTAAACGTTTAGAAAATGCGGGAGAACTTTGAAATTTTATATTTTTTCTATTTTTTATTTTTATTAAGCTACCTGTGTATGAAACGATTGATACTGCTTGAATATGAATTATCAAAGAAAATCTTTTTTTATTGACTCAATAAAATTTTTTTTTATTAAGTAATATATTATGTAATCATATTTAAATATGTCTAAATTTTTAATGAAACTTGAAAAAATTTAATGAACTTAAAAATTTTAATGTTAATTCGAGCATGCATCCACTCCTACTCCGACGCACACTCCATATTTCATTCTTTATAAGGCTTATTCGAAACGAACCGGAAGAAGTTCAGATGGACTCTCGACATACTCGTTTCGTTCGGAATCCCGAAACTGGATTCGGATATCAGCATGAGCGACTGGCATATATTTTATGGATACGAGATTCCGTGAAGCCGCGTGAAGCAATTTGATCGCGGCCATATTGATTTTAGTATATAGCGTCACTACCGGTTGATTGGGATACTTCATTTTTCTATACTCTTTTTCGCCCTCACAGAATTCATCATTTCGTCACTATCATTGACAAAAGACGAGTATACAGCATTGACTAAGAACAGAGAAGATTTCCTCTCTACTAAGGACAGGATAAACATGACATTAAATAGAATTTTGTGTCTCAGGTTATAAAATATTAACCTACCAAAAAATCAGAGTGTTTCTTACGCCCTCTGCAATTTCCTATAGCGAACATAGGAATTATCACAGACAACTTGTTAATGATTATATCACCTACAAGAGATAAGAAAGATACCACATTTGTGACGTCATCTACTGGCATCTTAATATTTTATTGACACATATTTAACTTTAGATGTCTCTTATCTCAATTCACCCAAAATAGTAAGGATTGCAGTTGATAAAGAGATTCGGATAAAGTCTCATTCACATATCTAAATTATTGTAAAGCGATTTTCAATTTGACCAGGCGGAAACAGGTGGAGATGCGTGGAAAAATGTTAGGAATATTTTATGGATAGGAATATTTTAAGGAATAGGTTATGTATGAAATCATTGTTCCGACCATTTACAAAAGTATAGAATTCTATATTTCCTTTACTAGCTGATTTATTCCATATCTTGTAATTTTATAACAAAAACTTAGTTTCAATCCTAATTACTACTTTACTGGATCAATAACGTCGCATGTGACACGAAATGACATGGGCGATCAGGGTACCTATGTACCTTGTCATTGTCTCTACATAATGGTCACGAAGTCATGACCTGTTGCTAGGATAAAGAAGAGCACAGAAAAGTGAAGTACACCGTTCAACCGATAATGGTGTTACATACCAAAACCACATTATGACAGCGATCAAATTGCTTTACGCGGTTTCACGGGACCTCGTATCTATAGAATATATGTCAATGGTTTATGCTAATAACCGAATTCAGTTTCGGGATTTCGAAACTTTTGGAAGCAGATTCCGCCCGATCCCTCCCAAACGTCTTTCAATCCATTCCAATCCCAAACATACGCGTACCCGCATACCTCTAGTAAGTGCTGAATCGATAACATTGAAAATGATTCGAAAATAGTAAGGGTCAAGGCTCTTATTAGTGATATAAAAATACATTTAATGTTGAGCTTTCTCCATACTTCGTTTGTAGTTCTTTAAAGCAGTAACTTAAATTCGGTATATATCAAAAACTTTTAGATAACATCGAATAAAGTTAAAAATGACCAAGTGTAAAGTGAAGGTAAGATTATTCGTATTAAAAAATTTGAGAAATTATATTTAATTAATTTATAGTGATACTATGTTCGGCAAATAAATTATATATCTTTTTTAAATCGCTTATATATTTGCATTATTATATTTGTAAATATTTGTATAATTAATAAAATATATAGTTTAATTGTATAAACAATTTCATGTTCTGAAACTGTCACGTGACAAACAGGTGGCTTTTATTTTTTAAGTTGAATACTATTGTATCTCTACAAACTTTTAGGTCGGAATAATCGGTGGTTCAGGTTTAGATGACCCTCAAAATCAAATATTAAATTGTCAAACTATAATTACGCGAGGAAAGGCTGAAAATGAGTTTGGATTTCCATCTAGCGATCTTTACCATGGAGATCTTAATGGTGTAGACGTGGTATTATTATCAAGGTAACATTTGCGCTTTTAAAAATAAATTTTTTTATATCATACATTCCTTTATGTTTCATACTTTCTTTTTTTGGAATAAAAGTTTAAAGTAGGAAATTTTATATAATTAAATGCATATAGACATGGACCAGGTCATACAACAAGTCCCACTGCAGTAAATTATCGTGCAAACATTGAAGCTCTCCGCTTAGCTGGATGTACTCATATACTTGCTTCAACAGCATGTGGCTCTTTACAGGAAACTATTTGTAGAGGACAATTAGTTGTTCCAGACAGTTTCTTAGATAGGACAACAAAAAGAAGTATTACCTTTTATGATGGTACTTCACCTAAATATTTTGGTAAACTAGATTTCAATATTATATTAATAACATAGCATCAATCCTATCTAAATAAATATTACAGTATCAAATTTTAGGAGTGTGCCACATGCCAATGGAACCAGCTTTTGATCCAACTACATCTCAAATATTGTTTGAAGTTGGTAAAGAATTAGGATATGACATAAGAAAAGGAGGAACAATTGTAAGTATAGAAGGACCAAGATTTTCCTCAAAAGCTGAAAGTAATGCAATGCGTTTATGGGGAGGAGACTTAGTTAATATGACTACATGTCCAGAGGTACTACATTTCTTCTCAAATTTCTTTGTACTAATTTGTAAATTTACATAAAATATATTTTTAAATAAGGTATATTTGGCAAAAGAAGCTGGACTTCTATATGCAGTTGTAGCAATGGCAACTGATTATGATTGCTGGAGAGATTGTGAAGATAATGTTCATGCAGCTGATGTAATAAAAGTATTTAAACAAAATGTTAGTAAAATAAGACATATACTTACAAAGGCAGTTAAACATATTGGTGAAAAAAATTGGGACAAGGAAATTGATGCTTTACATGTAATTATCATAAAGTACTTAAGTAACAAAGAAAATATAAATAATTCTATATTACAGAAAAATAAAACTAAATTTTTCTTCTTTTTCCAGGAATTATGTCAAAGTAGTAATGTTTCTTCTCATACTTTATAAGTTTGTGTATTTGTAATGTGACAGTAAGAATGTACTACTTCGTATTTCAGATTTATGATAAGTTTGATAACAAAAACTGCAATTTATACACTTCTTATAAAGGTTTTAAGAATACATATTGTTCGTTTCAATAAATAATATAATTAAAATAAAATGCGATATTTGTTATCCAATATTAATTAATCTAAATAGTCAACAAGAAAGAGAGAGGGAGAGCGAGATGATTAAATGATACTTTATATTTAATGTGTACATAGATTGTAACAGAGTAATTTCTTGATCACATACTCCATTCAAGAATTCATTTATTCATAGATTTAACATACAGTTATGATTCAGCTAATATTGTCATCACTGTGACTGAAATGTTTTTACAACTGGAATTTAAAAATTATATATTATTAATATAATATTGTAATTGATTTTGGAGTATATAAAACAATACATTTTCAGAATTATCAGTATGATACATATAACGTTTTTAATACATAGAACATTTTCATTATTTAACGCATAGGAAAACTTTTCTTTTATAAAATTTAATCGATGACGATAAAATTTTGTTTACTTTTTAACACTTTATCGTCAACCGTATAATAATTTACAGTTTGAAATACAAATGCGCTTCGAAACACTAATGAATTAATGATTATTATTCGAACGGAAATTATAAACTAAATTATCTTCCCATAGGTTAAAATATGTTTGTTTAAATCAGGAAAAATATTATATCTGTAGACCATTCTATTTCTCAAACGTATGTATAGAATGAAATTGAATAAATTCAGACATACAATTCGATTTACATCGTTGTATTAAAAATACCATTTCGAAAAAAAAAAGCGATATTCAAAGTAATATTGCAAAGCATAGTTTCTATACATAAAGTATTTATAATACAACCTGTTTAAACAACATGCACCATAGCGATTCCGTATATTACTTTTCATTTTTGTGCAGCCTTCAAATCAATATTTAATACTTCAATTGTATTTATTATAAAATGAAAAGCTTTATATATCATTAAAACTTGAAAGATAATGTTAATAATAATACTTCAAGAGTTCCACTAATGTTTTGCAGTTTTATAGTTTTTAATAAGTAACATTGATACATTGGCATGTATCTGGTACACTCTGCATTGTTAAAACATTAGTTTTTAATATTAGTGAAATAAATTTACAGTATCTTAACACTTCAATAACACTTATTTTACTAGTTGTCGCATAATACAATATGCATTATGAAGACCTATTGAATGAACATGGTAAAAGCATTTGAATCAAAACAGATATTATGACATATGTCTTGTAACAAGATGCACTTTCTTCTTTATAACAATATTCACAATGGTCTTAATTTTATAAGCAATACATAACATAATACAATTCTACATTGCAGAATTTCTATTCTGGCACAATATATTTTTTGCTCTTCATGTAGTACTATATAAAATAGGTTGTGCTATATTTAATTGTGAGAATTTTGGTACATTTATACAGGCATTTTACGCAGAATGTGATTATTATGGTTGTTAATATTTAATATATTCAATTTTGTTTAAAGCTGCAAATTTAAAGTATATAATCATATTATGAATCTCATTTGTACTAATGTATTTTGTTCAATCAAATATAGCCTGTTTAAAAAAAAAAAAGAAAATTTGAAAGATGTATTCAAATTCGTCTGCTAAAATTTATACAAATGATTGTGCATTCTATTATGCATAGTTTATATTAAGCTAATATCAAAGTACATACATCTCTCCAGGCATTTTGATGTACTATAAAAATATCAGTTTTGAGTAAATATTTGATATACTCCTGGAAGTGAATCAATAATAATTACATTTACATTGAAAATCAAGATCGTAGCAAAGTTTTAAAAAATGCAATATATTGTAGTTCATGTAAACAGAAATGATCATAGTTCATATAAACTACTTTGTACGCACCTGCTTTAAGTACCTGGAGATATGGAAGTATGTTTTATGTAAATGAAAGGATATTTAAAATATAAGAAAATAGACTCATCACTTCAATAATTAGACCTTATTGTCAACCATATCTACGTTGATTTTATAATACACATAAGGGAAATAGTCATTTTGGCCAAAACCTAACCCTGGTATATCCACGCTCTGTTTGAACATACAAATAGGAAAAAGATATTAGGTAATACGTGACAGAATTTTTATAAAGAAATCGAAGTAAATCTATTATTAAAACGTTACAACTTACATCTTGATTTCCTTGTGCACCAGACGATGTTGTAGCAGAGGAATCTAAATGAGCGTAATGCTGGTTCAGAACATCACGTAAACGCCTCGCACATTTTTTATGAGGATGTAATAATATCGCTTGAAAATTTACAGGTAATCCATACCTAATAAGTCATAATTTAATCGATATATGATTATATGTAACCTTTGTAATATCAAATGATTATTTACCTTAGGACAGATTCTACAAATACGCGCAAAGCTTTAACATGAATCCATGCACAAAAACACTCACTAAAGTTAACTTTTAACCAACGTACAAGAGGCCCAAATTGTTTCTTTTTATCTGTTACCAATTTTGTTATCTCATTTTTTCCTATAACATATTTTAATAAATTTCATAATTGTAAATAATATTAATGTCTCTACTATAAAACTAAAAATTGTATAAACTAATTTATATGTAAATAAAAAGAAAGTATTTGTTATAAATAGAAATAGAAGTTTGTAACAAGATATTAGGTACCTGCTGCTAATTCCTCTTCATTATATGTAAAATCACGAACAATGAACTTCTTTTCACGTGCGTGTAATTTAAATTCATCGATAACTTTTTTAAACAAAGTAACAGTAAATAATCCATACTCAACATCTTGAGCGATGAGTTGTGTGGTACGTGGTACTATCATTTTTGTTAATTTTTCATATCCACTATGCCACTCCTGGAAATTTGCTCTAAACATTTCATAGAAAAAATTTTGTATAATCTAAAGAAATAGCAGCAATTATAAAATTTGTTAAGCAAGTTTACCTTGGGACGATTACAAGCAAAGTAGTTAAATATTCGCTATCCAAGATAAAGTGTTCCTTCTTCACTAAATCTGCCAAATTTCTTGTTAATAAGCTTCCTCTATATAATAACAATTATCTTCCTTAAATAACTTTCAAGATATAAAAATCTTAAATAAAATCAACAATAATTTACATATATGAAATGTTGGGCAATAAAAAGTTGTAACTTACGTTTGCTTCTTTTCAAGATTTTGTAAACTTCCTTTCAAATTATTATATGTTGTAGATTTAGTTTTAAGATCAGCATCAATTTGACCCACTTGTTTACTGATAATGTCAGCAATATTTCTCAATGATTGCTTGATAGGATACTTTGCCATATCCCACTGGAATCGAGTTATATATGATGGTAGATCACCTAGTAAATTTAAAATGTTAGTGTAATTGTTCTGCGAGATAACCATCTTCATTTTCTATATAAATATTCAAACAGAGCTTGGTACAATTTTGAAAATGTGGAATCATAAGTAACATGCAATGTTTAAATTACATGTAGTATAATTAATGCTTAAGTGTGTTTATAAATGGAATACTGAATATATTTTTAATGATTTGATAAAGTTTATAAGCTGGAAATGATAAAGCTCTGTTGAATTGAGATATATTGTACAAATGCAGAAATATATCTGTAACATCTAATTTTATCAACTATAATATTTATATTTTTCATTTTTACATATTTTTTCACACATTTTTATCATATTTTTATGTTCATAAAAAAAGTGGTAAAAAATTCTAAACTTCTCTTTAAAGAAAATAATATTACTTCTACTTACATTATGTTTCTTTTATGCTAGTTAAAAAAAGAAAAGAAAATTATAAGTCTGCATGTGTACAATAAAATTATGCATATGAGTACATATCTAATTAAATTAATTTTAGCTGAACCACAATTAAAATAATTTTGTAGATTGACTCTGTGATAAGGAGAGTATTGATAATAATAAGATAACAGAGAAAGACTGTTTCTACTAAACTCATTTTTTGATTCTAGTACGCTCCTTACTTATTATTAGCGTTACAAGAATAAGCGAGACATTAACAAAAATACAGCATGCAAACATTAATGTATAGAAGCATTTTATGTTATCAATTCCTTCTTATTGTAAAATTCATTTTATTTAAGTAAAGTTGATCTTTCTTTTTAATACATAACATTTTTAAGTAGACATTAGCTCAAATTAATTAATTTATATATCTGTAATGGAAAAGAATTACTCGTAAATCACGTTTGAATGAATCGTGAAGTTTTAGAATTAAGTAGTTCCAGCTAGTCCCTTTAATTCAATGTTGTAAGATTTGTTTCACTGCAATTTCTTTTTTATTATCAATAAAAAGAAACTTTTTGACAAAATATTCATTCAAACAAAATTTATGATAACTCTGTAACTACTGATGGATTTTGAACTATGTTATCATGTCCTTTCATGAAACTGTCAATGGATAATTTTTTATGAATAAGCACACACGCACGCATGCACGCATACGCATGTACACTTGTTTCATTAGAGTATGAATACAGTGAAAACTACTGAAATATGATGATCATTGATGCTATATAAATAGTTTATATCTTTTAATTATTATTTTCAAGATATCATGTTTGATTTGTGTATATTAGAGACCTAAATGGTGTAGCATGAACAGTAGTAACATAGACATAGTATATGGCTAAACTAAGATATTTAAGCATTTCATGCCAACTGTTTATGAAGTATTTTATAAAAGTTGATCAGTAGGATGTTCTCTGTGATATGGATAACTTGTAGTGTTGAAGGGTACTGAGCACCATACTGTCATTAAAATTTATCTTATCATGCGAAACAGTATGTTGTAAGTCCATGTACCGATCGATAAGTGTTTTAAAACTTTTATTAATTGTGTGTCATCTGTAGTCTGTGCTAACGTCCATAATACATATGAGTACATGTATTATAGTTTGTGCAATAGTCTTTCTATGAAAATTATAGAAAGTAATGGTTTGAAAGCATGTAAAAGCTAGGTATAGGAAAATGCTAAAAAATGTATTGAAAGAAATAAAGTTATTACTAAGATTGTGTAACTGTGTTTTAAATATAGCATACTTCTTATAATTGTTCTTAAACCATACTTTAGTCTGTATTTATAACATGAATTTTAAATCCACAAGATTTTCTGAATCATACATTTTAATTTTAATAATGGTATACATAAATTATTTAAGTAACTTAATGTAATGACAAAATAATTATATCAGACCAACTTATTATACTAACACATTGTAACTTTCCTTTTTTTTTGTATATGAGTAATCTCTAGTAAATTTAGTATTTATTTAAACATGTATCTTTTAAAAATAATACATAAAAAATGTTATACATAGGAAAATTGAAACAAAGTATGGTATAAAAGAACATGAAGTAAAGAAGTTATAAAAAAGAAGCAGTTAAAATGTAAGAAAAATAAGGTTGATAATGATTGAGGTAATATACTATGTGTTCATTCATTCGTCCACAGCACCTGGAACAATTGATTGAATGATTTCTAAAAAATATTAATCAAATAGAACACTCTCATATCATTAAAAATGAATTTTAACACAAAATTAGATAGTCCCTTAATGTGTTTTGTACTTGTTCACCACTAGGACGCAGGAGTGAAAAAGAACTAGCTAAGAACTTAAAACAAACTAGAGCATTTTCCGAAAAATAAACTTTAAGAATGTACGCACATTTGCTGCAATTAAAATGTGCTAGAACATGGGCAGCTGTCTTTGTTATCTTCCAATTTTTTAATTCCTGCGTGCACAAGAAATATTGTAGAAATATCACCGAGGAAATTACTGTGGTACAACACAAAATATTTGATATACTAGGCTTCTGTATTTTGAATCACAAGCTAAGTAAACTAAGCCAAGTATCTTTTTCCTTTTGGTACTGTCTCACTTGGTGTATGCTGTAAGCATTCGAGAGAGATTGTCATGACTTTTATAATGTGCTTTAATATTCTTCCTTTTTTTCTTTTTTTTTTCTTAAATTGTCAAAGTATATACAAATATGTAACATATATTTAGTCACTAATACAAAGAAAATTATGTCTTTTGAATAATGCAAATTCAATTATAAGAGAGTGTAGAAAATTTATTACAGTGACAAAAAATAAAAAATAAAATATGTAATAAGCAATGCTTTCTCATTTGACATAGCACATTAACATTTAAGAAGATTTGAAATAATTTATTACATTGGAGGCAAGATTTGGCATAAAATATTTTAGCATTACAAACATTGCATATATGTAGTGCAGAGTTGTGCAGAATTGACACTGAAGGAAATGCGCACTAGGATCATAAAGACGCTTTCAATATATAGTGACTGGGAAAAACTGAAACAACGTGAGTTTCAATTATTCTTGTTCTTTTTCCTCTAAGCAAAAGCTGCATGCGAAGATCATTGTTTCAAAACTTTCAATACTATGAAATGACAACCTCTCTCTCTTTCTTTCTCTCTCTCTCTCACTTTCTTTCTCTCCTATATCTACCTCCAAAGGAGATAAGACAAGACAAGAATCGGTCGCTAAAAGGGCGAATCACGAGGTGCACAGGAAAGTAGGTTTGAACAAGTCTCGCAGCTATGTTGGGAGAAAAGGTTCGACGGGTTGACCTGGCGGTGATAGGACGGGTACCTGGATTGGGCAAATTGCCGCTATGGTCTTGGTCTTGGTCTTGGTCGTTGTTTTGGTCCGCATCGTCTTCGTCGTCGTCATTGCCGAGCGATTTGCGATTGGAGGTAGATCGATCTGCTTTCTCAGTAGTCCGATGACGTGTCGCCGACTGCCATCTGGTCTCTCCTTCACTGCTACAGTTTGATGAAAGGGAAAGACTCGGACTCGTGGGAGTAGGACTAGGAATAGGTGTGGAAGAGGTAGAAGCAGCGCACCAATGCGCATGGTAGCATGAATATGCTGATAAAGGATCATTTGATGATCTGACATCACAGATGCCTTGGGGACTATATGATGATTTCTTTTCGGTTTCGGAAGGATGATTGTGATGTTTATGACTATGATGATGCTCGTGATGATGATGACGCTGGTGATGATGCTGACCTAAACAGGCGGCTGGTTCTGGTTCACATTTCTCCGATTCCTTCCACTGCTTGTGATGCTCCTTTGAAGACTTGTGTGATGGGGTGACGGGGGTGTTTGGCGGGGTGTCCGGACCCCCTTCGGGGCTCGAGCTCTCCCCATCCACTGACGTTTGACCTATCCATTACAGCCCAGTCCCAATCTCCGCGCGATTTTTCTTACGTCTCGTTCAACTATTATTGCGTCCTACGCAAATGCCTAACGACAATGCTGTCGAAACTCAATCAAAATAACTCAAAAAAAAGAAAAGAGAAGTCACGGAGTATTTAGCGCATAGACAACCTCTCTATTTCATTAAAAATTTAATTACGGACTTTAATAAATGGATAGTTTTACACATCATAAATGAATGTCAATTTTTATTATTTCACTAGTGAGTGTACATATTAAGAGCATCGCGTTTACATTTGTAACAAAAGAAACTAATGAGATATGCAGTTTTTACTAAAAAAAATAGTAAGTCAGATCTATATTTAAATAATTGTATTTATAAAAACTATGCACCTCATGATTACAATATTCAGTTATTAATAAGATTACTATACTTGCTAAAAATTTGTTGATTCCTATTTTTTTCGTTACTACATTTTGCAAATAAAGTACCATCTAGATCTTAAAGGAAGATTTCCGTTAAATACTCCGAAATGGCAAAAGCAACAAAAGAATGAAAGAAAGAAAAAACGAAAACAAAAGGTAAACAAGACATAATCAAAATGAATAAAGGAACTGAAGACAAAATGAGCAAATTATATGCAATAATGTCAACTTAAATTGCAAATGATTAATAATGCCAAGGGTATAAAATAACTGAAGAAAAAAGGAAAAGAATCCTTGTAATAACTAATTCGAGCTTGGTGACCACAGTAACCCAAGCAACTCCTTGCGTCCTTTGTAAATTTTTAATAAAAAATGTGGTCTATATCTCTAAATCATGGTATATTTGAAATATTTCTTCTACATATATTTCAATATATGATGATACTGCATGTTTGTGTATTAAAATTTTTTGTAGCTTTATACATCTTTGATGGTGCACATGTATGAGCATTTGTTAATAAAATAATAAGGTAGGGAAATAGGGTTAATGTGGTCCAAATTAAACAAAGCAAGCCAAGCAACACCATAAATATGAGAAAATATTTGTTATAAATAATAAAATAAATGAATTCTAATCCAATTATAGTAATAAGCATTCTACAGATATGTAAATCATATGCCAAAATATGATGTGTACCATCATATCTTGCACATTAACTAAAATTCTTAATTTCTTAATAAAATAAAAAATTGAAAAAGGTAAAGAAAAGAAACACTGATTTTATGCACTTAAGTAATAATCATACTGACTATAACAGATTGACATAGACTATGTTACTCATAAAAATAAATATGCATATAATTTTTAATGTTTTTCTTTCAAGGATAATTGTTCAAATTACTTGATTGTTTATTTATTATATAGAATTTAGAATATTTTACATTCAAACAAACATTTTAATATATTACAGGAAAACCTTTTATAATACAGATTTTTCCAACTAAATGTTGAAAAGCTTAATAAAAAAGATATATGGTACATATCATATTTAAGAATGTTAATTACTGTGTGCTATAGCCACAAGTATTTTGCCTGCATATTATCCTCAATAAAAAAACATGTCTATTAAGACAATTTGTAAAAAAATAATATTGTTGTTATTTGATTATTAGCGTACACAGACAAAATTTTGTTTCCATCTATCAATCTATTAATGTAGGGTACTGAGGAGAAGGATCAAAGACTCTAATCGTGCTATTATTATTATTATCAATGAATAAATTAAAATTTTTAGAAAATCAACTGATACATGTTTAAGATCATTGTTAAAGAAAAATTCTAAGTTGTGTGCATGTTTTGTGTTGTGTATAGTATTCATTGATGTCTTTGCCAACCAATATTATTTTATTGTTAAAACATCATACACAAAAAATCGATCGATACCTGTTTGTAAGGATCCAAAAAGATAAAATACCATGATATAATAATATAATACCAATATTTTGACAAATCTTTAATATTGAAGCATTCTATTTGAAGCAACATTGGATAGAAAGTTGATAATTTTGAATCCTTGACTTTTTCAATAATCTGTTCTCTTATATCAAAGAATAGATTATATATAAATTTAAATTATAGAGCAAATTTTAAAAACATAAACACACCAATATTTGTACTCACTATTGTTAGCCAAAAGATTTTCATGTAGCTTGTCTCTCTGATCTTCTAAAACTTCTCCTAGGTATGTTGCCACCTTGCGTGTTACTTGTTCAACATAAGCATCAAGTTTTCCTAGATCATCTGATAAGCCAACCAATTGGTCCAATGTTCCCACCTTTAAATCTGGGATATGAAATTTGTAGTTGACTGACAAAGAATGTTGTTTTGATGTCAAATTGTTCATGGTTTCCCATGTCTGTTGACATGTTTTATCTCCAGGTGCGGATATTAACCAATATTCTGTCATTTTGGATAATGTTCCAATGTAGATGACTTAGTATGTCTGAAAATTTGTATTGTAGAAATATTATGTACTTCATTCACGTAAATTGTCATATTTTATAGTATTATATACCTATTTATTTGCACTATATTTTGTATAGCAAATTTTATTCAATCTTTTAACATTTCTCAAACATATAAACATCAAATAATTTTCTATATATTTATTCAAATCTCTAGAGAAATATTAGAGTGGTATTTTGTATTAAAATAATTGTATAATTTATCTATGATAAATACATTTTTGAGATGAGAATTGGCTGTAGAAAAAAATAATTTTGTCAACAATCACCTGTTTGTCTATCAAACGTAGCTAATCTATCAAATTAACATTATAATTCTACGAGTATTGTCCATGGATTCGTTACTTATTCGTGTATAAATAAATGGTGGTGCAAAATTCAGAATTCTAAACAATTGAAACATTTGCAAAGCTTTGAAAAATGAAATAAAAAAAGGGGGTGTGGCACAACATATTTCTTTCACTGTGGTATTATATTATGTAATTAGGCGCGCTTTCCACGTGACATATACTAAGTGCAAGAATGGCGCGCCGAACTTACAGAACGATCAATATATGGAAATGACAAGTGTTCATAAAATTACAAAAGAGATAGTCTTAAATTGCTAGGACTATACAAAATGTTTAGTGCAAAGTCGAGCTTATCATTGAGATGACTTAATGGCGTCCACTATTAAACCAGTATAAAATCGATAATACAATAGATCTGATCGTTTTCATAAAAAGTACGTCGTACATTAAATTTCGAACAATCTGGAAGCTTAATATCAATCAATATAATGAACACACAATATATTGCATTGAGTGGCTCAAAAACAAGTATCACAATCTTAATATTATATTTGACAATAATCTTCAATTTCTTCTTAATCGTAAAACATGGGTTAAAAGAACTTTCTATTTAATCATAATTTATTGATCATTGATTTATTTTAAACGCGAAACAAATTGCTTCTACTTACCTCAGATATTTCAATTTGTACCTTTACTTGAAAAACACGGTAGATGCTTGAATTTCTCTAGAAATTTAAAACATTCGCTGTTCTGATCACTCAGTCGTCGAAACTATATCAGAAACCATTGTGACCTCACGTGATGACAATTGTGTGCTGCTGTCTTACGACCCGCCCGGCAACTAAAGCATAAACTAAAAGAATCATCAGCTGATTTGGAACCAGAGATGAGTAGAGAGATTGCCAATGAGCATGAGAGAAATTCAATCAAATTACGCTTCACGAATTACTGCCTCTAGCGGTTAAACAGCGGAACTATATGCACACTCCGATGCTTTTGGTTGGATGCGAGAAATGTGATATGCACAGCGAGAGGTCTCATCTACTTCACACTTATTCATTAGTACTTATCTCTGGTTGAGATACCATAAACTGTATACCGTATCCAGTGTTATATATTAGTACTTTTTGCTAATAATATCACTATTAAAATCTGTATCACTACATCTCATTAATGTACACGTATATGCCTTTCTAACAACGATATCTCTAGCGATAGTGATGGCCAGAGGAACTAATCACTACTCACACTATCTAATAATCGTCACAGTACAAATACACCAATAGAATAGAGGTGCGTCATCAAAACACGGAATACCCTTATATTACACTAGAGAGGAAATTTTCTCTCTGATTACACCTTACACCGTGTTTTTGACATTGTGGCGAAGAGGAGACTGTTGGTTGCCGTATAGTCCATAACAGCATTTGACACAGATCAGCTTAGGATTAAAGATCGTAATCGTATTTTTGATTTAGTCTAAGATATATCATGGGTTGCGATGGTGGAACTATTCCTCGCAGAGATGAACTCGTAAGAGTCAAAAAGAAACCAGAACAGGTAATTTTCTACGTAATACTATCTATGTAATAAGGTTTATTATATATCATCCATTTACTAAAAGAATGACATATATAAAACATCATCAATTTTAGTTTACAAAAATTAATTCCTTATCATACTGTGTATCAACTGAAATAAAATTATATATAATTATTTATAATCAATTGCAGAAAGATAAGGAAGCAGAGCTAGCATTTAAGTGGAGACACTGTACAATTAAACAATTACCATTACAGCCACCAGTTGTTGGTTGTGCTTTAGGTCGTCTTTATAGTAAAGAATCTGTATTAGAAGGCCTCCTTGATCGAAATACTCTTCCAGAATCAGCACAACATATTAAAACTTTGAAAGATATAAAAAACTTAAATTTAACATCTAATCCGGCATTTGAGGGTAACAAAGCAAAAAAAGGAGATTGTTATATTGATGAAAGAAAGAGTCCATATATTTGTCCACTTATTGGACTAGAAATGAATGGAAAGTATAAATTCTGCTTTTTATGGTCATGTGGCTGTGTAATGAGTGAAAGAGCACTTAAGGAAGTCAGAAGTAAGGTAGGCAGTTTTATCATAAGTATAAAAATTAAAAGAAATATATTGAGATTTTTATGTTATAATGTATTTCAGATATGTCATCAATGTCAACAGCCTTTTACTGAAACAGATATTGTTATTATAAATGCAGAAGGTGATGATCTTAAATTAATGGAAGAAAATATGACCCAACGAAAAACAGCTCAGAAAAGATCTAAGAAACAGAAACATAATGAAGATAATCAAATGCAAGATGTTAAACAGGAGGATGTACCAAAGAAAAAAATGAGAAAAGAGGAGAAAAATGGTACTGTGAAAGTCAATAGTAATAGGACTGAAGCTGAAGATCCAGCATATAAAAAAGTTAAAGATAATTACAGTGTTGCTAAAGATCCCAAAGCATCAGAAGTATTCAAAAGTATTTTTACGACTCATAAATCTGCAGCAGAACAAGATAGGGCACATTGGGTCACATATAATCCATTTTATAATTAAAATATAATTTTAATGTAAATGTTCTAAAAGTAATTAATATTATGTTTATATAAAAAATATTATACTTAAAATTCGTTGCAAACACATTGTAAACATTGAAATCGTTTCTGTGTCATTAATTAAATAGCTTTGTATATAAAAACAGTTTTATTTATGGAATTTTTGTAGCCTATGTTACGAAGTAGCAACATTTGTAAGCTAATAATATTATATTATTACTTGTTTGTAACAAAAATGGATGGTCATTATACAAAATCTAATAATTATTATAACCACAAGTTAATAATAAGTTGATAATACATTTTTTATATATATATATATATTTGTTAACCTAAAGTAAATGATTGTTCTATTAATTAAAATATTAAAATAATTGAAAAAATATAAACATATAAAATATGTCAATATTGAATCTAAAATGATGTTTTTATAATTTATCGTGCAAATTTATATTTACTTTATTCCATGCATTTTACTAATATATTTTAATGTATGTATATTTTTATATTTGTAAAGTATTTGTATTTTCCTTATTTTTATTTTTCATTTATATGCTTAATAAACGAAATAATAGGGTAATCTTTCATTTTATACCTGTATATCAACAGAAACTTGCGCTATACAAAATTAATCAACAACACATAAAATTTATCAAAATAATTTATGTAACTTTTAGATTTATGTTGAGTACTATATATTTAAAGGCACATAATATAGTTTGTTATATTTTTAAGCGTTTACCACAGATAATTGAACATTATCTTGCATTAGTTGAAGGTATGTCAAATACACAGTCACATTTGAGGCACTCTGCGTAGAGAAATTGTTTGAATAACTCTGCGTAATCTACCGACTGTTCGTTTTCTTCGAGAATGCCTTTTTGTTATTAAGCAATTCCATCGATTTAATAAGTAAAAAAAAATACTTGCTACCATTATTATTCCTCCCATGTAACTCCACTTACTTGTAAGTATTATACCATTATCTTGATCATTTTGTTTTAATTCATCAATATTATTTCGATCTGCGTGATGTAATGTAGGAATATTTGCACCTCCAACACGTCTTCTAAGCCATAATGGGCTTGAATCTTGTAGAACTGGATTTATAGCAACTATTGTGTCTCCAACAGACAATAGTTTTTGAGGCTTATAAAGATTTCTGAAATAACATTAAAGTCATACTGTAATGTACTTATTTATCGAATGAAATTTAATAACATTTATAATAACTTACAAAGGGACAGATTCGTTTAAAGGTTTTGGAATAGCAGGAGTAATAGTAGGACAAGATGGAAGTGGTCTAATATGACCAGCATTAGTATTTTCAGGCAGTAATACTTTACTATGACGTTTCAAATAACTTCCTTCCATACGTTGCGGTAATTCATTACTGTCTAAAATACTAGACTTCTCAAGAACTTTTGCCTTAGTTTGACTTTCGTCTGTAAAAACAGTTGCGATATGTCCTGTTGTTGTATATTCCAGTATAGCATCAAGCATCCAAAAACAAGCTAAAAAATAACATTTAGTCTTAATTGAAGAATAAAAAATAATATAATTACTAAGTTGAAGATTTCATGAAAGAAACGTACGTTTTTGTAAATGGCTGTCATCGATACAATTTGAATCCCCATATACTACAATTCTACCTGATACAATTTTTGCTTGGTCTTTCATATTATTTTTTTCCACATTTTCTTTCCCCATTATCTCGTTGTTACTGTAATTGTCATTATACAGTTCTTTCATATTTACATAACCGTTGGTTTGAAAAAGTCCGAGAATTGGCACTGGGATTGTAGATCTTGATTCTGATTCAAGCAAAAGTTCCTGCCCTTGATCATGTAATTCTGCATAAAGAATAACTCCGTCCTTTGGAAATCTTGATAAATGTAAAAAATATATTTTATCTCATTATTAAAGTTAATATATATATAACAATTTAAACAGTTAGCTATGATATTTATTATATCACATACCGAGTGATTGTAGTACCAGAAGCAAAAGTAACAGGTGGATGTTGACCAAGAGTAAATTGACCATTGCGTACTTGGTCACCAAATGCAATTCCCCAGTTAGGATATAGTAAATCATTCAAGGCTGGCACATTTGCACCTCCTGTATCTGGTATCCACCATTGCCGAGTATTTTCATCATAAAATTTCACTTTCCTCATAACAGTGACATTATACCAATCTGCAAATATGACTACAGAAAGACCTTCTTCTTCTACATCTTTCCTTAATTTAGCTACCTGAAACATAGTTTTTTGTAAATTTTAAATTAATTAAACATTACCAGAAAACGTTATTGAACATTATATAACATGTATAATATTACCTCTTCAGGAAAAAACTCTTCTTCACTATCGACAATGAGTAAGGTACCATAATTTTTGGCATTAAAACAAGTGAATGGAGCACCAAGTACCTCTAAATAATAACCAGCATTACGTAAATGCTGATACATATCTTTAAAGTTAGTATGAATATGGTCACCGTTCCAATCAAGTGGGTCATTTTTCACACGCAAATCATCTCGCGGGAAGTATCCGGGAGGATAACGCAGATTGTGAAATTGATCCCATAGGATACGTTTACTATTAAGGAAATGTTATTCAATTTTAGTTGTATAGCAA